CCCTTGGCGACCCCCGACCCGGAAGCCCGGCCCCCCGGCCCTGCTCGGTGCCCCGCCGCCCCGCCGCTCGGGGCCGCCTCACCTGGGCTCCGGCAGGGCGAGCTTCTTGCTGGCGCGGGCCGCGGGGGAGCTGCGGCTCTTCTCCATGGCCATGAGGTAGCTGACGTCCGCCAACACCGCCTCCAGGTCTGCCATCTTGGCGGGGCCCGCGGGGCCAGGGGCCACCCAACGCCGCCCGGCTACCCGCCCCGCCGCCGCTCAGGAAGGCGCTCCGCCGAGCGCAGCCGGGACGGGGCTCTAGGCGGCGGGGCTGCGGAGGGCTGCGCTCCGCCGCCGCCCCGGCATCGTCCTCGGCGCAACGGCCCTGCTCGCCCGACCGCTCGCGAAGGAGGCGGCGGCGGCGGCGGCGTCCTTGGAGCTGCGGCGCTGGGCTGCGTCTCCGCGGCGGTCGAGGCGGAGCGGGGGGGGGGGGGGGGGCGAGGGGGGAGCGGCCGCCGCGCGAGGGAGCCCCGGGGCAGCGGGGGGAGGCTCCCCGGCGCCCCGAGCGATGCTGCCCGGCCCCGCCCGGCCTCCTCCGGTGCCTGAAGCCGCTAAGCGGCCGCTTTGGCTCGCTTGCCCCAGGAGGGAGGCCTCCCCAAAGAGCCCCTCGGGCTATGCCGCAGTCTTGGAAGCCCCCTCAGAGGCGGCCCTTTCCCGGGGAGACGCTCTGGGGAGGGGAATCTCTCTTCTTCCCCTTTGGCGGTCGATTCGGATTGTATTAGTCCCCCAGTTGGTGTATTGGAAAAAGAATAATTCAGAAGGGATAAAATAATGCTGGGAACATGAATCAGGTAGATGAAAAAAGAGCGAGAGGGACATTCCTTGTTTCTCGGTTCAAGTAGGTGAATTTGAAAATAATTGAATACAACAACGAGCTCTTTCTAATTGCATTTATTTTATTGTGCAGAAGAAAAAATTGCCTGGTGTTTCCAACAGCCGGACCCCGAGGGCATTTCTGTCAGCCGAGAACTGAAGGCCCTGCCAGAGCCTCCCTGCTTCCTCAGGTATCTCCTTTTAAAGGTTAAGCATGAGACAATTGTGGGGAAAATTAACTTCCGCCAGGGCCAAGTATTTCAGATTTTCATTACGCATTTGCAGCCGGGCCTTTCCCAACCCCTCTGATCGCAATCTTTGCATCTCAACCTCAGCCAGCAACCCAAACGTTTTTAAGAAAAATATGCCAAGCGACTGTCCTTTACAGAAACATGTTTTGCCACGAGAAGAGCCTCCCTGACCAATCTGATTTGCAAAACCTCCGGAGGACTCTCCAATTAGGAATTTAACCTCCACAACCCTCCTGCAACCGGGCTCTCAAAAGTGCCAAAGCCCAGAGAACTTGAAAGGCTGGAAAACCAAAGTAAGGCCTAGCCCCCCCTTCTCCCCCCCCCCCAGTGAAGAGAACTCCAGCAATGATGACAAAAACAACTTTGCTCCATCGTCCCCAACCTTCCGTCCATCCGTTGGGCAGAATTTAAAAACGGGTCTAAATATTTTGCAGAGCGACCTGGTGCCTGGCTCTTGCGCTCACATTTTTTCCTGCCATATTTGGACACGGGGCAAACTGCTCTGAGCCATTCCCCTTCCAGGGACTCTCGGCCACTGGCACCACTTAATCCCATCCGATCCCACATGGCTGGGCATTGAGGAGGGGGGAGGCTTACCAATAGCCAGCTGAATCAGCCCTTTTCTCTCCCTGCTTCCTGAGCAGCCCAAGGCAGACACCCCAGAGATTTGCCCCACTCAATGTCCAACCCACCAATCCAGGCCAAAGCCCTGTTGCTCTGTGTGCGCAGCCAGCTGTCCGTCTCCTCCCCTTCAAGGAGCTGCAAAGCGCCAGAGGCCCCCGGAGTGGCTGCACCCTGCCTGAATGCCTCCGTCCCAGGCAGAGCTGCCCAGAGACCGGCCTCTTCTTTGAAAGCCCCCTCCCCACCAGTTTCAAAAGGGATGAGAAAGGAGGAGGGGGCAGCGATGGTTACTCAGGACTGCCGGCTGGCCCCTCCACGCCAAGGGCAGCCTACCAGACCTGCCTGAAGGCCCACCAGCGGGAGGGCTCCTGGGCTCAGCTCCTCCTTGCAGGCACCTTGGAGGGATGCTGCTGGGCCAGGAGGAGCTTCTGGGGACCCCCAGGGTGGGAAGGAGAAACGGAAGCCGAGGACCGGGAAGAGCAAGAGCGTTTCAGATGACAAAAGCTTTATTCAGGGTTGAAAGCAGAAGCAGAGGCAATGAGCGGAGAGGGGGGGCTGGCCGAGCGGCGGCGGAAGACTGGGAGGCGGGGGGGCACTCCGGGGCCTTCCCGGGGCTTAGCTGCTGCGGTAGAAGGCGCCCTGCTGGTGCCACTGCATGTCCCGGATGCGCCGGACCGACTGGATGTGAGGCTGCTGGGCTCCGAACTCGAGGTTGTCCTTGTAGTCGCCCTTCTCAAACAGGCACTGGTACCCACGGTAGCCAGGGTACTGGTAGCCCACCCACCTGCGGGACAAGGGCCGGGTCAGGTGCGGGCACGGAGCTCCATCCTCCACTCGCACAAGAATGCCCCCAGAATCAGTGACCCAAATTTGGAGCCCCCCTCTGCCCCCCCCCAAGGAAGGGTCCCCGAGACTCACGTGCCGCTCTGCACGCGCACAGAGGAGACCTTCTCCTGGTAGCCATAGGCATGGAAGCTAGGCACGTCGTCGTCCACAATTTCGATCTTCTTGCCGCTGAAGCTGGGATTCTCGTACAGGACGATCTTGTGCTCCTGGCTGTCCTGCAGGGAGGCAGGGGAGGAGGGGAGGGCCCCAGCCGAGTGGGGGCGGGGGGTGCTGCTGAGCTCCCCAGGCCCAAACTGGATGTTCAGGCTCACTCGAGCGCAGCCCGTCCGGCCTGAGGGCAGGGCAGGGGGGTCTCCGGGCATCTTCCCTGTGGCCGCCGCCACTCTCCTCTCGTGGCTCTGCCTGGCCGCCATCACCATCCCTCCCCAGGGCAGAACCCCATCGCAGGGCGGCCTGGCCAAGGGTCCCTCCCTCCCTTCCGGGACCCCCCCACTTTGGTCACTCACCACTTTGATGGGCCTCAAGGCGGAGATGGTGTCGCTCCTGCGGCTGCTGGTCCAGGAGTCCCAGCGGGGGTACTCCCCCTTCTCAAAGATGAACTGCTCCCCTTTGAAGTGGGCCTGCTCATATCCCACCCACCTGGGAGCAAAGAGAGGCCAGGGTGAGCCCCAGCTGGAAGCCCCCCCCCCAAGGAGCCCCACTAGAGCTGCTCTCCCTCTGAAGCACTCGGGGGGCTCAAGGGGTGGGAAAGACGATCCACGGGTGCCCCAGCCTGTCCCAGCCAACGGCCTCCCTGCCCCCGAGCCCCCTCCCCCGGCACTTACGGGCCAGAATGCACCATGATGGAGCTGACTTTCTCTATCCCGGCCTCCTTCAAGTTGGGGCAGGGGCTGTTCAGCTCCTGGCAGCGCCCTTGGAAGTTCTCCTGCTCGAAGAGGGCGATCTGGAAGTGCGAGAAGAGGGGTCCGCCAGAGCCTTGGGGTGCCCGGGACCAAGAGGGGAAGGAATCCTCTGCCTCGGGGCCCGTCCAGTGGAGGGGGAGAGCAAGGTGGCTTCTGCCTAGGCAGCCGCCGGTCAGAAGGCCCCTTCCTCCTCCCTCGGCCAGTCCAGCCAGGCCGCCGCCCACCTGCCCGTGGCTGCCTAGGGCTGGGCCCACTGACCTTGGAAGAGGCTTGCAACTGCTTCGAGGTCTGATGGTCCAAGGCCATGGTGACAGGGGGCTGCTCCCTGGGGAGAGAAGTCACAGCAGGGGTAGCACGCAGCCCCCACCCCGTCCACCCGATATGCTCCGGAAGGGCCACCACCGCTCCCTTCTTCCCCTCTTGGAGGCTTGAATGCCCAGGAGGGCACCTGGCACCTCTCCAGCCCAGGGGAGAAGCCAGGCCATTGCCCAGCTCGGGACTGGCATGGGATGGAGAAAGACTCGCCAAGGGGTGCTTGCCAATAAGAGGGAGGAGGGGGAAATTAGCAGTAAGGAGAAAGGAGAGAAGCCTCTTTCTCCAATCCCGGTAAAATCCTGGAAGCGGAAAAGGGATCCTGCCTTCACCGCTCCCAGGGACCTTGGCCATCTGGCCAAGAAAGTGGTCAAGCTTCCTCCCTTTGCCCACTGCGGAGTCTCTCCTTGATTTGGGGAGGGGGCTTCCACCGTCCTCTGCCTCTGCTCTGCCAATCTGCCGTTTTCCTCTCTCGGATTCAACCCGGTTGGGAAAGAGCCCCACGCAAAAGGCACCGTCAAGCCCAGGAAAAAGCCAAGTGGAGGAACCCTACCGGTTGCACCAAAATTTGCTTCTGCTGCTGAAAACCCGCGGCTGAGCCCCACCATTTATAGCAGGCGGCAGAGTCCCAGGCCAGCAGTATTGATCAACATGTGACCCAAACCAAGAATGCTGGATTAAAGTATAATGCAAACAGAGTCAGCTCCCCCCCAACCTCCCTTTGTCCCGGGAGCTATTTCATGAGCTTGCAGTTTGGAGCTGCCCGCTTTGCTTGCTCAGCTCGGTGGGCAAGGAGAGCCCGGTTTTGTTGAGCTCAGCAGGTGCAGCCCCCCCAGGGCCTGGCGCTGCAGAAACCCTCTGCCCTCCTCCCTCCCAAGTGGCCCCAGGGCCGTGTCAGCCGGAGCTGCTCCCTGCAACACGCCCTGCACGGAACGCGCCCAACCAGCCCGTTGACGGGTGGGCAGGGGGGCTTCTCCATGGCACGGAGGGCTCCAGGTAGCTGGAGGTGGCCGGAGAGGCCTCCTCTCTCTGTGGGAAGCCAGGAATTACATCCGTCATCGGGTGCAGGCGGGGAATCCAGGGACAGAGGCCTTCTCCTCCTGGGGGCAAGCGGTCCAACGGGAGTTGGGGGCAAGCGGCCTGCCATGCAGCTGCCCAGGCCCTGTGCTGGGCCTTCCGGAAAAGCCTGCTACTGTCCATGCTTGCCAGGCTCCTGAGCAGCCCATGGGCACTTCCTGCCCCTGGAAAGTCCCTCTCCCCAAAGGAGGCCGGAGGAGGAAAGCACCCCAGAAGCTCCCCCGGGGCCTGGCCGGGTGCAGCCCCCGCCTGCTTAGCTGCTACTATGGGGGGAGGGGGGGCAGAGGGCTCCCAGGTGGCCTTCTGAATTTGGGGAGGGGCCGGCGGGGCTCCCGTTTCCAGCGCTGGCTCAGAGGGAGACGGAGGCAGGGTCTCCTTTGCAGGCACCCAGTGGCTTTGGGAGACAGGACGCCTCAAGGGCTCCCCCTTGTGGCAACAAGCAGAAGGGAGCCTGGCCGACAGGGTTGAGTGGAAGTGCAGGGCAGCTGCTCCCTTTGACCTGGGAAGGAGGCAGCAGGCAAACTACCTGGATGCCCCTGCAGGGAAGTAAGGAAGAGGGCTGCTTCCACCCATGGAGAGAAGAAAGAAAACCTCAGCCACACCAGTTGCTCTGAGCAAGCTTTTTAATCAGATGGTCGAGACGGAACGTGGCCAGGAGGAGCACAGCCTCCGTGTGCGGCTTCCAGGGGATCTGCCAGCCAAGTTCTCCCAGCCTCAGAAACGCTGCAGATGCCCGGACTTCCTGCTGGCGTTGCCAGGAGAGGCCGCCTCCAAGTGGCACAGGGGTCGGGGCCATCTCCCCCAAACAATGGACAGGGTGCCCGAGGGCTGGAGGCATGGCGGAGCAGATGGGCCTCCCTGTGCCAAGCTGGGAAAGGAAGGAAGGAAAGGAAGCCGGGGTCCAGGACTGGCACCGGGGAGGCACAGAGGCAGCTGGCGGTCCCACCCCAGGCCCAAGGTCTCTGGCTGAACCCTTGGGGGAGCCAGAGCATTTTGAGAAAAGCACTTATCGGGGTGTGTGTGTGTGTGTGTGCAGCGTGTAAGCACAGCGGGGTCTCAGGAGGCAGGAATGCAGACCCCAAGATTGGGCACAGGGCTGACTCAGCAGCCAGCCAGCCTGCCAGGCACCCTTGGGGCCTTCAGAGGTCGAGCACCACCCCTCGCGGATGCATTCACAGAACCGCCCAACTTGGGGTTTCTCCAGCCGACCAGGACGGAGCAGAAAAGGGCTTGCCAGGGTCTCTGCCCTGTTCCCAGGGATGCCGCCCCCCCCCCCCCCGGCCACGCAGAGGCCCATTCGTTTGCTGACCGATCTCCCCAGGCTTAGAAGCGGGAGAGAGCCGGACTCTTGGAAGGGCCGGAATCCAACGCAGGACTCCTTGCCCCAAATATCAACAAGGAAATCGACAGCCGACAAAGACGATTCAGGGCCTGAGCCAGTTGGCTTTTCTCCCGTCTGTCCAACGAAAAGGCCGCCTGGGGGGGCTGATTTACAGAAACCCCCAGGAGGAGGAGGAGGAGGAGACGTTGGCTGGGCTTTGCTACTTCCTCTCTCACTCAACAGCTCGTGCCAGAAACCCTCTTCCTCTGATTCTTGAGCCACGCGGCCCCTGGCCAAGCAGCAAATCCATGGACGTGTCCAGACGATCAGAACCGGATCCTGAAGAAACGAGCGGCGTCCCTTTCCCTTCCGGGCAGGGCAGCAAGCGGGATCCGTCTCTCTCTTCTGCGGAGAGGAGGAGGAGGAGGAGGAAGGCCGAAGCCCCTCCCTCCCCACGGATCGCAGTCCTGGCCTCAGCTCCCCAGGAGGAAGGCGGAGCGTTCGGGGCAGCCCCAGATGCAGGGTGGTGGGGCCGGGGCCGTCCCACAGCCCCCCTCCGAGGCTGGAGTCCAGCAGGGCCCCCAGAGGAAGGCACTGAGCGCAGGTCAAGGCGAGGGAGCCTCGGGAGGGCAGGGAAAGGGCGGGCGGTCAGTTAAGGCAGCTCCTCCTCTGGCCAGTCATGGCTTCAACCTGGAAAAGAGGGGGGAGTGGGGGGGGAATCAGGCCATCTGACCTGCCTGGGCCTCCCCTGGATCACCTGCAGCCTCTTCCCCCACCCAGGCAGGCAGGCAAGGGAGCTGCCCAGGCCAGGGTCAGCCCCCCCTTTGTCTGGCACCCCCCCCGGCCTGCCCCTCCCACTAAGCCCACACTGCCCCTCCCGCACCCCGCACCTCAGATGGGGCTCTCTGGCTGGCCCTGCTTCCTCCTGGACTTCAGCTCCGTCAGCCATGGGGGGGGCAGTTCCTCCGGCCTGAAAGGCAGCAGAGCCTCAGCAGCCACCCTGGAGGGGCTTCCCCTGCTGTGGGGGGGGGGAGGGCATGGGGAGGCTTTGCTGAAATAAGGGGGCAACCCTGGCACACACACACCCCGTGGCCTTCAGGGCCATGTGGCTCCCACATCCCCCCAACCCATTTTCTCTCTCACCTCCCTTCCTTCTCGGGGGTGGCCGCCAGCACCCGGCCCCCGGAGCCCCCGGCCGGAAGCGGACCTTTGGGCGACTTGCAGAGGGGCGCAGGGGGGGCTTCCTCCCTCCTCCCTTCCGACTCCTGCCTTTTCCTGAGTTGAGCCTGTGGAGGAAGCCCCAGACGCTCTCAGGAGGAAGCGGGGAAGCAGCCCCCGGGGAGGGCAGAGACCCCAGCTGTGTCCAGAACCCAGCCTCCGGGGGCCTCCAGGGTTTCTGCTGGGAGGGGGCCTTCCCTGATATACCTTGAGGGCGGAGGGGGCCAGGCCTGGAAAGAGAGGCGGCCGCGGCTGGGCAGGGAACAGCCTCTCTGCTGTTAGGGGCTCCTCCTCCTCCTCTTCCTCTCCTGCCCTGGGGGGCTTCTCTTCTTCACCATGAAGGGGGGAGGGGAGAGTTATCACCAGACAGACTGAACCCTCCCCCGCCAGAAGCTTCAGGACTGGGGGGGGGGGGCTGTGGCTCCTGCCACCCAGCCCTTCAGGGCCAGGAGTTCTGCACCCCTTTCCCACAGCCCCCCCCCCCCCGAGATGCTGGCGGGGGGGGGGCGTTCCTGGCTGCAACAGCCTTCTCACCGGTCCCACCTGTGGAGTCCCTGAACATCCAGCCGCTGGCTGCTCCCCTCACTGCAGAGAAGGGGGCCGGCTGGGCATCTCCGCTGGCATTCCTCCTGAGGGTGTGGGAGATGGGGGCCCGATGCCGCTGCAGCCTTTTGCCCAGCAGGACGCGGCTCTTCAGGACCCTCGAGTCCAGCCGGGCAGTTGGCTGCAAGAGAAGAGACCGGCTTGCAGCCCAAGCACAGACCCCCACCCACCCAAAAGAGCCAGGGGCACCTGCCCGGCAACCCACCTCCAGGAAGGAGAAGTCTGGGCTGCCCTTCTCGGTGGAGGGAGGCTTGGCTGGACTGGCGTCCGGGCTGGAACCGTCCAGGCTGTGGCTCCTCTGCTCCCTGGGTGAATCCGGTCGGTCAGTGGCCGTGGCCGGGCCCCTCTGGGAGGAGTACCAGGAGGCTGGGCGGCCAGGAGACGGCTTCTGTGCGGGGGCCACGCTGCCCTCCGAGGAAGGAGACTCCGGGGTGAAGCTAGGAGAGGCACCGGGTGAGATTAGGCCCCTGAGTGGCAGCTGGGAGCCTTTCCCATGATTGCAAGGGCCCCGCCCTCTCCTGAGGCAAGGGAGGGGCTTGCTCTGGGGAGGGGGAAGCAGCAGCAGCAGCAAACAGGCCACCAGTGTCTGCCGGAGAGGCTGGAATGGGCCACTTCTCTCCCCCAGGCCCCCAAAAGCTGCCTGGCCAGCTGCAGCACAGAGGGAGCCTCGCCCCAACGGGGTCCCGGGCAAGGAGCTGACTGAGCAGGGAGAAAGCAGCTGGAGGCCCCCACTGCCCCCATCAGCCCCCCCGTTCCCATCCGCTAGGAAGCCAGTGCTGGCTCTGGGGGAGCTGCCCAGGGCCAGGGAGGGGTCCTCGTAGCTCCCCTGCCCTTCTTGCAGGAAATGGGGGTGCGAATGTGCCCGTGGCAGCCGCAGCTTCGGCCTGTCCAGCAACAGCAAAGAGACTCCCCTTCCCTGGCCCTCACCTGTCTCCGCTCTGATGCTGGTCGCCCCAGGTGCCATACCTGCCGTCGGCCTCCTGCACGAGGACGTCGGTGTCCCTGGCCTCTGCTGACGGCCGGCCGAAGCACTGCTTCAAGTGGTCCTGGGGAAGATGGGAAGGGAGAGCTGGCATCACCCTCTGCCGGAGAGAGACCTGGGATCTGGGTGCCAGGAGGAACGGGCTGGGGGGCAGCACCTCCGCCCTTTCCCCCCCCCCCCCCCAATTTCCACAGCCAAGGGCCCAACAGGCCAAATGTTGTAACCTCCCCCTGGAAGCAGAGTTTCCGGGGATTTTACAGTGGGGAGCCGACATCTCTGCTCTTCGCAGCCGCAGAGCCTTTCCTAACGACAGGAAGCCAGAAAAAAAACTTTTCTAATCACGTTCGTAAATGTTCCATTTCACCGCTTTATGGATACTAGAGAACTTCGAAACAGTGAGTTTAATTTGACACCTCAAGATTTGTACCTTTTTTGGATTGAAGAGGTTTTAAAGAGGGACTTAAGAATTTTAAATAATATATAACTGACAAAAACAGAAAAGGGTCTTGATTTAAGAAAGCTTTAAACGGACTGGGAGACCAACAAGATTTGAAACACTGGTTATTGTTGCTATAAGACTTGAAAAACAATATATAGTTCCACTTCCGACTGAAGTGGAACTGGACCCCTGCCAGGAATGGAGGCCTGAGGAAGGTTGCAAATGGACACTAGAGGGAACTAAAAGGCCAGATGGAAAAGAGGGGAAATAGCAAGCCAGCTGCAACTTTTTCCTACAAGAGGTTTTTTAAACATGGACCAAAATATCAATAACTGATATCTCAGAAAAGATACAGATTTCAATGAACAAGCCTTCAGAAGACGATGAGAAAAAACGGACACAGGCACTCTAGAGTTTGCCTGGAAGACAACAAAAGTGGAATGACCAAAATGGGAATACAACAGAGAAATCCAGAAAAGGATCTGTGTCAAGCAAACTTCAGCTGCTCCCCCCCCCCCCCTCCCCCCCCCCGGAAAAGCCTCTGGGGAATCTCTCTGAGGCTTCCCAGGTGCTGCTGTCAGGGCCAGCTCTACCTCCCACAGCCACCTCAGGGTGCCCACTACTCACCCAGATACCCATTGCCTGTCCAGGCTGCAGCCCCCGTGGCTGGGGGGGGAGCTCTGTGCTGCACACACACACACCCCGGACGCAGCAGGCACCCCCCTCCTGAGCCAGCCAAGGAAAGGGGGGGGGCGCTACATCCCTCCGCCCACCAGAGAGATGGAGGAATCCTCCCCGCAAAAGGGCAGGGCGAGTTGCCCTCAGCCGGAGGGTCACCCAGAGGAAAGGACCAACCTGCCCTGCTTGCCAGGCTGGAGCCAGGGATGACCGACAAGGCAGAGAGGCTTTGAAAGAGGAGCCGAATACAACCTGCTCCCTGTCTCCGGGGGGGGGGGGGGGCCCTTGCAGGGCCCCCCCGCCCCACCCCCCCCCCCCCGGGGGGGGCGGGGGGGGGGACCCGGGGGGGGGGGGGGGGGGGGGGGGGGCGCCCGGGGGGGCGGGGTTCCTGAAGGGGAGGCGCACGGTTCCCGACTCCTGAGCCCAGCAAAGATGACGCTGGTCGCAGCTCCTTGGCCCTTTTCTCATCCCATCCTTTGGGGCTGCTTTCTGTTCAGCTGGCGAAAAGCAGGAGTGGCCAGGGCGCAATACACCCCCCCCCCCCCCCACGCCCCCCCCCCTTCCAAAGCGTTTCCTTCCAAGGCCCACAACGGGGCGAGTCTGCTTTGCACACCCAGCAAGCCCACCCCACACACACAGACACACAAACACACTCCGGGAGAAGGGAGCCCGTGTGCAGCGTCAGAGCAAGAGGCGGCTGCAGCCACAGATAAGCGGCAGTTCCTAGAAGTGGCTGACCTCACCGATGACAGGCTCCCCCCCCGCCCCCCCCAGTGCTCACAGCTCTTTCCAGGATGTGGGGGGGACACTCCTTCCTAGAAGCAGCGAGGAGCAAGGGGCCAAGGCTTCAGCCAGAGGTGGCCAAGGGCTGGGGGGGGGGGATCACAAAAGGACCCAAAGGGATAAAGGCGATTGTGGAGCCCCCCAGGGGGCTTCCCAGCAGCTTCTTCAATGAGACGCCAGCAGATTTTCTATCTCTCGCCTCCCCCCCCCCCCCCCCCCCCCAAAGACGTTGAAACGGTCCAGGGTATTTTTAACCAGAGCCAGAACAACTCAGCCAGGCATCTGCAGCGTTGCCGGGGGGGGGGGGGGGGGGGGAGGAAGCAGGGAGCCACTCCAGGAGGCAGCCAGGCACCTTCTACAGGACAAGCAGAAACGGCCCTGACCCACCTCTCCAGGTCCAGGGCTTCCCCTTGGGAGAGAGACCCTCACTCTGCTGGGAAGAGCCCCAAACCTCCCAGAACTCTCTCTAAGCCATGGAGGCAGGGCTCCAAAGCAGCGCCAGCCTTCCAGCCAGGAGGCAGGGAAGCAGAGCAGCTGCAGCTCTGGACACCGGAAGAGAAACCCAACCTCTGGCCGGAGAAGGCAGCCACCCGACCAGGGGAGCAGCCAGGCAAGTGGCTGTATTGAATCCCTGGGCACAGGAAGCGGGAGCCCGTTCCCCTTCCCCACACACCCCCCGCCCCCTCTGCACGGCACCCACCAGGGCTGCCATGGAGGCGCCAGTCCTGCTCAGGGCCAGCAGAAGGGCCGTTTCCTTCTGCCACACAAGCCTGCTTGGCACAAGAGCATCCTGGGAATCAACATGCCCACCTCCCAAGGCACCTGCATCTCCTAATGCCAAGGCAGGGTGGCACAGCCCTCTGGAAAGAAAGCTGCTGAACGGCTGCTGAATAGGCCAAAGGGTCAGAGGAAAGGAGGGGCGCGTGGCTGTGCCCACAGCCGCTCAAGCCCTGGGGCAGGAGCCCAGGAGGGGCACGGGGAGGGAGCGGGGAGGGAGCGGCTGTGCCAAGGACTTCAATCTGAGATCGGTGGGGAAACTCGGTTTGTCACCAGGCACCGTCTACAACCGTTTTCTGGAGAAGGGCTTCAGATTACTGGCTTCTGCTAGGCATACAGTGGCGGGAAAAAGACACGCTGTCCGGTGGTCCAGGGCTCAAATCCCCCCTGCCCAAGCCTCTTGCCCAAGGAGCCGCCTGGTTCCTAGTGGGAGGCAGTTCTCAGGTCTCTGGTCTATCCACCAACCACGCAGCCAGCGCCAAAGTTCCCACGTGCTGAGACGCGGTATCGGCCAACGGACAGCGCCCAGCCGTTCCAGAGGGCTGGCACAGCAACCTCTCTGAGAACTTTGCCTTAAAGATCACCTGAAGGCTTCTCTGGCAAATCTTGTGCCAGCCATACCTCCTGGTTAAAGTCCCCTGTGGGCAAAGATTTGTGGAAGAGAATCCAAACAAGGCTCAGGAGCTGGTGCCAGAGCCAGACGCCATCCCGGTTCGCCACAATGGTTCTTGGAATCTCAGAGGAGTGCCTCCCACTCTCAACCCCTTGAAGCTGTGTGGACTTCAACTCCCAGAATTCCCCAGCTAGCACAGTCATTGCTAAGAATCCTAGGGCCGCACACACTCCTACAGCTCAGCCAAGGCCTCTTTTTTTGTGGGGGGGGCTGCAACGCCTCTTCTTATGGAAGACTTTTGCCCATTTCTGGGAAATGGAGGCCAGACCAGCAGGCCAGTTCCTGGAATGAGTGGTGGGTCAAAGATAAACCATGCAGGAAGCAAACCCACCCAAGCCCCCCGCCCACTTTTCCCGCTAGGACAACATCAAAGAGGAAAAGCCCCCAAGAGGAGGAGAAGCCTCAGGCCAGCCTGAAAGGAGGCCTCTGGGCGAAGCTGCTTCTTCGGCTCCCGGTGGGCTGGGATTTCCCCAGTCCGGGGGGAGGGGGCTTGGCACCCCACACCAACGGGGCTTCTCTGCCCTGCAAGGAGCAGGAGACCCTCAACCCCGGACCTGCCCCACCTTGAGTGCCCCTTCGGCCTCACGCCAGCTGGACCCTGCGAGAGAGGCTGCCAACCTTCGGCCCCTTCTGGAACCCTCTTAGGCTTGGGGGAGACGGGCCCCGGCCCTTCACTCGCCCCCCCCCCCCTTTGGGGAAGGTAGCCGGGCCGGCCGCGTGGGGCGGGGCTCCTCCTGGCCCCGCTCAGCAGTTGCGAAAGGACTCTGCGGCCATCCTCCCCCCCGCCCCCATAGCTTCTTCGGACCAAGGCGCCTTTCGCTCCCTTTCGGGGCGGGAGGAAGCCTGCAGCGGCAGCGGGGAGGGTCTCCCTCCTTTCCCCCCAGCCCGTCCTTACGAGCTCCGGCGTGGGCGAGGGCTGCTCCGGGCCGCCGGCGGGCCTCTTCCTGAGCGAGGAGAGCCGGCGCTGGCTGCGCACCGAGAACTGGCGGAAGGACTCCCGGCCCCGCGAGGCCAGCTGCCTGAAGGAGGCCGTGCGCTTGAAGGGGGCCCGGCCCGGCCCCTCGCCCGCCGCCCGCTCGGGGGCCACCGCCGCCGTCACCAGGTTCAGCGCCTCGTGCAGCGAGCGGCGCACCGAGCCCACCCAGCGGGTCACGTGGCTCTGCGCCCCCGCCACCTTGTCCCCCAGCGAGTCCATGGCCGGGCCGGAGGGAGGGGCGGGCGGGGCGGGGGTGGCCTAGCGAGCCCCCTCGCTCAGCCGCCGCCGCCGCCCGGGAGCCCCTTCGGCGGGCGGGCGGGCGCTGCACAGCGCAGGAGGAGCAGCCGCCGCGCGCCCCGGATCCCGCGCGGGGAGCTCCGGTCCGGGCCAGGACGCGGGCGCAGCTCCCCCGGCCCCCATCTGCCGAGGCGCCTCCGAGCCCCTCTCCTCGCCGGTCGCCCAGCCAGGAGAGCGCGGGGGAGGCGGCGCGCACCGCTCGCTCGCGATGAGCCGGCTGGAAAGGCCGCGCTTGCAGGAGGGGGGGCAGAAGGCTCCGCCGCCGGCCCGCCCCACGCAACGCCCCCGCCGGCCGGCCGATCCCCCCCCGCCGCCGCCGCCGCCGCTCTGCCGGGAGGGGAGCGACAGCGGGAAGGCAGGACCAGGCCGCCGGGTGGGACCCGCGGGAGTGCGGGCGAAGTCGCCATGGCAACCACCGGAGGAGCAGCAGCATCCGCCCCGCGACTCGGACGCATCCATCGGCCCGATGCCGCCGCCGCCACGTCACGCGCCCACCCCGCATTAACCCTCTCCTGCCAGCCGCTGGCCCCCGTCCCCCGCTTCCCTCGAGAGGCGCAGCCGTATCCCGAGCCTGCCCGCTGCCAAGGAGGGCTCCTCCTCCCGGTGCCACCCCCAACCCGGTTGCTAAACTCCGGGGGTCTCGATGTCCCCCGCGGGCCCAGCTGCCAGGGCCCCCCTCCAGTCGGACCAGCAGGCCTTGGCTGCTCGGAAGGGGCGACCTCTCTGCCACAGGCAGCCCGGGGCCAACGGGCATCTGGACCAAGGCCAAGGGAAGCGCCCTGGGTGCTCCCTTGCCCCCCACTCCCTCCAGGGCGCTTCCCTTTCCAAGCGACCTGCCTCCTCCAAGTATGGTGGCCGAGGCCCTGGGGCAGATGGCTTCATTGGTGGCCTTGACTGAGCCCTCTAAAAATAGCAGGCGGAGAGGGGGCACAGGTGTTTGGAAGCCCCCCTCCCTCCGTCAACAGGAGTCAGACGCTGCTGCCGCGGCCCCCCTCCTCCTGCCCTCCTCCGCAGTTTCCTGTTTATGCCCCTGGCCTGAGGAGAGGCTGCAGCGATGGTTAAAAATAACTCGCAGCTTCATTGATCTGAAATCTGAGGGCAGAAGCTTCTTCCTTTCCCCTATTTAACAATCAGCAGAATCGCCCCAAAGGCCAACCTCTGCGAAGGCCACCGAGTTTTTAACCACAGCACCCCATAGTCCTTTACCCTGACCGAGCTGGCTGGGGAAAATGGGAGTTGAAGCTCTCTTTTGTCCAGCAATGGCCAGCCGGAACCCCAAAGGCCCTCTTGTGCCCCAGGAGGCATGGACGCAGTCGGGCGAAAAGGAGAAACCGGCCCCTTCCTCACCTTGCAAAGCCTGTGAAAGCCGCCCCCTCGGACCCTCCCTGGTTCTAAGCCCTGTGTGGCTCAAGGAGAGCTCCCCTTAAGCGCTGCCTTAGGCAGGACCCCTTGCAGGGGGCAAGGAGATGCCAATCAAGCGACCCCTCCCAGGCCACACCACTTCCTGCTGGGGGGGGGGGGGGCCAGCCGGGGGGGGCACCCTTGGCCCCGCGGGGGGGCCCGGGGGGGGGCCCCCCCCCCCCCCCCCGCTTGTGTTTGGAAGCAGGCCCAGGCAGGGGGTGATTCGCCAGGAGGGAAGATGCCAGGTTTATATAGCTGACCTCAATGTGGCATCCTCCCCCAGGAGGAAGAGGGATCTGGCCCACGGCATGGCCTGCCTGGGGACTCCAGCTGAGGGTGCCCCCCGTGCTAGGTCTGCTCCGGGCCCCACCAGGCCAGTTCCAGGCAGACTTAAAATCCCACCTCCGGGGAGAAGAGCCCGGACCGGCTCCCAGCCCAAGCAGCCCTGGCACCTGGGCAACCCGGCAGCTCCAGAAAGGCCAGAGTCAACATGCTGGAGGGCGGGCCAAGGCCGCTCCTGCTCCCAGCCTCTCAGGAGGGGACAGTCTGCCAGCCCACACAGAGGCCAGGCCTCACCTCCAGCCCAGGGGCCCCTGGCCTCCTCCAGAGGAGAACCCAAGCAAAACCCCCAGGCCGACGGAAGCAAACACCCCCACCCCCACCCCGGGAGACAGGCTCAAGCCAAGTTCCTCTATGAGGAAACATGGTTTCTTCAATAGCCCACGACCAACCGGGTTCAACCCAAATGCTAAGCCACAAACCACGATAAGCCCCAGGCGAGCAGAGCCACCAGGCGGGAGCAGCACTGTAACAACCACCACAAAAATGAAGGCAACGGGGACACAAACCACAATCCCTTCGCCATGACGAGGCCTTGGAGGACATCAGGCCTCCCCCACAAGCCCCCAATTGGACTCCCACTTGGAGGCACTTCCGCTGGGGGGACGGACCGAGCCCCACCAGGAGCCCTCCAGCCGAGGGGCCAAAGGCCAGTTCCCTCCAGCTCTTGCGCCGAGTCCTCCCACGCCAAGGCAGAGACCAACCAGGGCCCAATCCTTGGGGGAACCAACCGCTGACCCACGGCACCCCGGGGGGGGGGGGCTTCCCGAGCGGGCGACTGGGTGCCCAGGGCAGAGGCTGCGGCACTCACCCCTGGCCAGCGATCGGTCCTCCACTCGTTATAGAAACTGTCACTCCGTCGCTGGGCAAGGAGGAACGGAGAGTGCTTGATGGCTGCGGCATTGTCAGGGTCCACTGGGAGGCCTCCTTCTCCGAGGTCCTGTTGGGAGGAGACCCATCAGTGGAGAAGCAGCCCTCCCCCCCCCCCCCCC